TTTCCAAAATCGTCGAGGAACTTGGAGTTTTCAAGTCGATAGTGGTTTCTAGCCAGGGGCAATTTCTCACAAGGGGTAATGTCATAGTTTCAAAGGAGAAATAAGGTGATTCTGATAACTCTTGAGTTCGACTGCAGGCCCCTTTGCTTCTCCAGAAATTGAATTCAAGCAATGCCTTCCTGAACTCAACCATAAGAGGAGAATTTAAAATCTAAACCAACGTCCATTTAGTATGTCTTTTAGAAAACTTTTAATGATTTGAATGATTGAGCTAAAAAATGATGTCCCAGCAAAAGAGATGCTAGAGAAAAAATCAAACATTGTAATTCTGATCTTTAATCTTATCAAAAAAGAACTTTCCTGGGATTGTTTTCAATAGTGTTAACTTTTATTTGTGAGTCAGACTCCTCACTAGAATCAAAGGAGTATGACTCAAAGACATAGATCGGAAATTGAAATTGACTTTTGCAAGCGCTACTCTGTATGTCAAAGAGTTTGCTAAGTTAAAACAATCACAGACATTCTATTAAACATAAATTGACTAATAACACACTGGTTTACTATATTTATTATTTTTTCTGACAAGTGAAATGTTATTAGTTTCATCCGCTTAAATAATTTATTTGTTGTAAGCTGTAAAAGGATTGTAAGGAAAGAAAAAAAGCTTTGAAAGGATTGATTTGTTACGAAGGGATTGAAAAGGAGAAAAAAACTGTAAAAGGATTGATTTTTTAAACTTTTTTGATGCTCTTGTTGCTTAGTTTTTTATACTGTGTTTAAGAAATAATTAAAATCAGAATAAATATAACTTGTTTTAGTTTTAAATTTTTAGAAGGGGAATGAGCTTCTAGAAATACTGGAAAAAGACGGGATAAAATAGGTTGGACCTCAGGTCTAGAATATACAGAAAATTCCATAGAGGTTAACTAGCCATCGGTCAAACTGCAAAAGGAAAATAAACCTTAAACGAGTCTGGTGTACGTAGCAAGGGTGTATACATTGTACGTTGCGAGAATGTCGCCAGTGAAACCAAAGATTCGCTCTAACTATTATCCCCCTGGCTTGAAGTGTACGTTGTAGAGCTAGTAAACGGAATGCGTAACACTCATTTTACCCATGATTATTGGAAATCGTTACTCATTATTTACTTGCTCATTATTTACTACTTATTACACAACGCATTATTTACTTGCTACCCATAATTTAATATCATTTCAGAGTGAAAAAAATAATACAGAGTGAAAAATTATATTGATATTAAATTCTTTTTTTCCCCAAAAAAAAAATAAAGTTGTTCAAAAAAGTTGTTACTTGGAATTTTATCTGTGTCTTGGTTTTGAAACCAAACTCCACTAATGGAAAGATTATATTTAATAATATTGAAAATGAGGACTTTCCGAAATATTTTTTTACCAAGCAACAAAATAGCCACGAAATATTTTTGATGTTTTATCAACGGATGTTTTTTATCTTCTTTTCTTCGAAATCCAAAACAGATTTGGAAAACCACGACAGTCCATTTAGAGGAAATAGTAAATAGACAACACCCTTTGATTTCAAATATCTTTTTACCTTCTCAACCGAAATCAAATCTCAAATCTCAGCTTTTCATTCTTCTTCTTTTAAAAGGATATGGTCGTCACTGAAAACAGGTCTCAATTTTTTCTCTTATCCTGGTTCTCTGTATATCTTCTTTATAAAGCCATTGAAAGCATAGATGTCCCGTTTCGAATTCCCTTTTCCCCTATCCTCTGACCGAAGATACGTTGAAGAAAAAAAAAACATTGATTTCTCACAAAAGTTCTACGTTTAAATAAAATTTCTTCCTTTCAATCTAAGGTAAATTTCAGAGGAGTATTTTCCTTCAATATATTGTTCCTAGAAAGGTTGAGATTCGTTGATGAAAGGCGTAAAACTGGTTGAACTTTGCTTTATAAGGACTAAAAATTTGAAATCGTCTTTACTTTAAATTTCATGAGTTCTATTCCTTCTTTCGAATTATGTTATGTAGATAAAGATAAAATTTAATTCATGCAAGATATTTTCGAAGATTTTTTAAGGCATTATATTTGGGTGCATCATGAAATATTCTTTTCGAAATTTAAAGTTTTGTCACATATTTACAGTCATATATTGCCCTTTAGTCACATATTTACAAATTTTATCACATATTTTATAACTCGAAAGCTTCATTTGTTTAAATATAAAAAAGTAATTTTAGCAAAAATGCATAAAATATTATAAAAATTTACGATTTAATAATGAAAAACTTAGACTGTAAATTATGGATACAAATATACTTATATTCCCGAAATTTACGTTCAAACTCTACCTAATCTAGAATTTACATAATAACGTACTCTAGAGAATGGGTAGATATTTAAACTATGCATATTTATTAATAAAAATTAAGGCTTTCAAATAAATTCTGAGATACTTAAAGGGTACTTTCGTGCATATCTTGTATTTTGAACTTAACATTTCAGAACTGAAAGCTTAAAATTTCAATTTGACAAAATATATTTTTTGTAAATGTGTGATTATATTGAAAACTCTTAATCAATTTGAAATTTTGAATTTCAAAAAAATTATTTCAGGACTCATCTCAGAGTGTTTTCAATTCAGCTTTCGAATGCATATTAAAAAATATTTTTAGCGTGTAAGATTATTTGAACCCTATTATATTAGCTATACATTTAATTAAATATAACGCTCGTTAACGGCAGCGTCTTTTAAATAGGCGCAGCACTTACTAATGATTTTTGTAGCAGTAAGTAAATAGAAAATTGGAAGATACAGAGAAGATAAAGGAAAGTGGGGACGATAATGTTGTTGTTGTTTCTAATGCCAGAGCAGATACTGGAAAGCTTGTTTGGTAAAACCAAGTGAATTTAAGGCCAAGGGGGCTTTTCTTGTTTTTCAGTGGCGCCATCTATGACCAAAATTACGACTTAAACCACACACAACACAATCCTTATATGGCTAATCGTTCATACATGCAGGGATCGTAATTTAGACCTGAACCATAGACCGAACAATCTCCAATTCAGTATCCCCAGAGGTAAAATTTTTATGGGAACCTAGAAAAATTTGCGACCCGACATATTTAACGCGCACCAGTCACTATTTACTAATCGGGGAGTCTTTGGTCGGTGGAGATCGAACTCACTACCTCTTGGACGTAGTCGCTACGCCCTACCAACCAGGATATTTCTAATAATACGAATTTATACGTTATGTTTATACGGAAAGCCAGGATATTTCTAATAATGCTACATAATATGAAGTTTTCTGCTCCTATTTGGCAAAATAGTAATTATAAAAAAAGAAGGAAGCGTTTGAATAATAAAATATGTTTTGTGTAACATAAATTAAAATTTAATGTTGCAACTGAAAAAAAGAGTAATAACAAAAAAAATCAAAAACTATCTAAATAATAAAAAAAATTTTGCGTGACATTAATTAAAAGTTAATGTTTCAGCTTGAGAAGAAAAATCAAAATCAAAATAGAAATCAAAAATAGTCTGAATAAAAAAAGAAATTCTGTGAATTTGACTTAAATTAACAGAATAAAATTGTTCATTTACTAACTGAAAACTAAAGTTGTTCCTTCACAGTAAGCATCTAACTTAAACTTATTAATATTTTATTGCAATTGTTTCAATTCAACAAAAGAACCGTCTTACAAAAACTGAAAACTCAGAGCTGCTGCTACAATAAGTATAACGAAACAATTTGCTTAAGCTAATTAAACCTTAATTACAAAATATGTGAATAAAGTTGTTCATTTACTAACTGAAAACTAAAGTTGTTCATTCACAGTAAGCATCTAACTTAAACTTATTAATATTTTATTGCAATTGGTTCAATTCAACAAAAGAACCGTCTTACAAAAACTGAAAACTCAGAGCTGCTGCTACAATAAGTTTAACGAAACAATTTGCTTAAGCTAATTAAACCTTAATTACAAAATATGTGTCCAAAGTACCCTGTTTCATAATTTTGAAAAGGTCGAGTACATATTTTACGTTCTGCTATAAACAAATGCATTGTTTCAACTCGGAAAAATAAAATAAAATAAACAGAAACCATCTGAATAATAAAAGAAACTTACAGACAAGAATATCATAGAATAAGCCAGTCACGTAAAGTCTGTTAAAACGAATGGCAATAGTTCTTCATTGATCGCTGGGATGTCTGCCGAGCTATTAATTCTTAGACTATTCTGGAGAAAAGGAAGAAGAGAGAAACTCTCCGGGAAATTTTCCTAAATCTGGGAAATTATGTTATCATTTTTCGAAAAAGCTTTTTCTTTATTTGGGTTATATAGGGAAAGGAATCACGAATATTTTAACAATGATAAATGTTGAGATTTATTTTGGGTCTTTAAAGATTTTTTGAACTTTCAAGTGCAGTTTTCTGCTATTTTGTAAAATTAAATTTTTTCTAAACAGTCGAATACTAAGTGATACTCGATAACAGTAAAAGATTTTCTCTGTTTCTAATATTGATCAACAGACCTGTAAGTGAAATGATGTAATGCATTCTTATAACTTTTTAGGGGTATATTATATCATATTTCTTGATAGTGCGCAATGTCATAATTCTTAATTGAGCATTTCATCTGAATAACTACGAAATACTTTCATTATATATTTTGTTATATTACTTAAGTGTTGCATACACATGCNTTCTTATATATATATATATAAGGCAAAGTGACAATTCATAGAAGACAGAGATGTTTAGCTCTTAAAGTTACCTGCAACGAAATTGTTTTACTAATCATTACTACTAATATGAATCACGAACATATGAGGGACATCAAACGCTTTAAAAAGGTATTTAAAACGGTATATAAAACAAAATTGTTTTTCAACTAATATAAACCATGAACATATGATGGACACGGAACGTTATAAAAAGGCACCTAAAACGGTTCCTAAAACAAAATTGTTTATCTATTAATATGAATCGTAAACAAGTTATGTTAATTTTTTTCATGAATCATTTTCTTCATGAATCATGAGCATATGAGCAGTGGCGCAACATATAGATGATGAACATCGAACGCTATAAAAAGGCACCTGAAACAAAATTATTTCTCTACTGATATAAATCATAAACATGGACAACGAACGCTATACTGAAAATAAAACTGTAAAAAAGATTTTCGAAAAAATTGAGCCAAAATATATCAATATAGCACTGAAATAAATAATAGATGAATTTGAATACCCCAGAAATTCAAAGTTGAAACAGCATATACTCTTTTTTAAGCAAAATGCGTCGTCTAAAAAGTGATCTGGGGAGAGAAAGATGTGAGGATGGTATCATAATAGGATGTTGTTTATCTGGTAGGATGGTATAGATAGCACCGTAGTTGTACAACCCAGTACACGGAGATGTAGAAAGCTTTATATTGAAGCCACTACAGTGACGCATCATAATATACTAATTTCCACTTTTAATGGTACAATGTGTCGCAATGTAGAAATTATGGTGCCAATAGCTTAGTCAGAAGATCGGTAATTTTAATTTCACTTCTTACTCTTCTCTGCTGTATCTTAAAAAATTCCAAGCGAATGAAATGTATAAAGATTCCTAACTCTTCCTACTTTGGGTAAACTACTATGGTGATTAAAGCAACCTACCACTAATTTGGAGGCCCTTCATACATCACACTTGCCACATCAGTTCAGTTTTTAAAAATATAGAGCCCAGTACTGGAGTGGGGGTAAAAGATTTCAAAAAAAGCCTACACTTTATTCCAACGCGCTCTTTTGCTTTACACTAAAGTAAATGTTTTTAATGAAAAGCCAGTAGAAATTTTTAGTATCTGCATTGGAACATTTAGTGTGTAAGTCTTGCCAGTTTGGTTTTCCATGTACTGGACAAGCTAAGCGTACTCTTGAGTTTCGAAATGAAAGAGATGTCCGAAATCAGGTTATTAAACTATCGTCTATCACCCAATATAGTTGGAATTCTAATCATAGGTTTAAGTTTTATTTTCCTAAAATCAATCAATACTGCGTTTCATTTACCTACCTTGACTTCTAGAAATCATTCCATATTACAAAAAATTTAAGAATTGTGTTAGTGATCTTTACAGCATCCCATTCTTTTCCAATATTAGAAAATTTGTTCTTATGAAATTTCTACATTTTCCCCACTGTGGTTCCTAGCCAATCCTTTACACCTGATTCTTATCCTGTTTAAGCTTGTTCCTATGCCCTTAGTGATCAAACTTACTTTTTGTTGCAATGCATTTGTTTTAATTTTATACTGTAATTTGCAGTTTAGACAATAAGGAAGGTTCTTGTCTATAGAACCTAAACTATAGCATGTATTTTTCTGTAACTTTATTCACGTTTTCTTTATTCGTATGTAGCACGAAGCATACCCTATCTTCATTTAAATAAGCATATAAGCGTTAAATGTTTTTCCTAAGAAAATTTTTTGTAAATTTAGTATTATATTTTAGCATTGTAGTAAGACGCATTATTGAAATTATTTGTTTTGTTCGTTATTCGTTAAGTAGTTGAAATATATATTTTCTTTTATTATTCGTATATTTGACACATAATGAGGGAGAGTATCAAAACATGAAAAAAGATAATTGCAACGGAATTTGGTATAAATGCTCCAGCACACTATAAAAAGTGAATTCTCAAATATAAAGTAACTAATGCCTTCATTTTTGAAGAAACAGTTTCCTAGCATATGCTCCGAGCAAATATTTCGTCAAAGTGACGAAATAACTATCGTCACTTCTACCTCGATACGAATATCATAAAAATTACAGAAATATTTTGCCGTTCAATTTTTTTTCGAAAGTGAAAAAAACTCATAGTGTCTAACGCAGGGGTTGCCAAACTTTTCTGATCATCGACCCCTACATAATTTTTCGAAATCTCCATCGACCCCCATAAAAGTAATTTTCTGTTAATTAAAATAAAACTCTATTAGATACTGTGTTTGTACATTTATTTTATGATTTTGAACATTTATTAAAGTAATAGTACATAGTGTAACAATAGTTTTATGAAAAATATATTAATGTTGAAATATAAATACCTTAATATTTATGAAATAATAAGTAATTATAAGTAAGTAGAAATAATAAGTAAAGTAACTACGGATTTATTGCTTCTTAATCAATGACATGGGTGTGCCTGGTGTTTTTTTTTCTGCAAGGTTCGTTATATTGGGTTCAAAATTGGTCAATTTTAATCTTAAATCCCCTCGAAACTCCACATTTAATTTATTTCTGTTCTTAGTTAAGATTGAATTTACGTGACTGAAACCGGCTTCAACCATATAGGAACTTGGAAATGCTATCATAAATGGCTGAGCTATTTCGTAAAGTCTTACATATTTTTGCATTATATTTATATTTGTCCAAAATTTGCTTATTGTTAAATTTTTAAAAAGCGTCTTTGCTTCAAATCCCCATAATAATTCAGCAAGCTCATCTTGCAGGTTGATGTCCACGTTTTCAATTTGAGCAGAAAATGGCACAATAATCCAATCAGGGATGTCAATGTTTTCCAAATCAACAAAACGCAGTTTAAAATCGTCGCTCAATTTTTGAAGATTACCTGTATATATTTCCAAGTCTTCTTCTTTTATTTCTAATTGTCACATATCTGAAAAATACTGATAATCCATCGACCAATCGACCCTCCGGTGCGGATCGACCCCCATTCGACCCCTGGCTCAGATCGACCCCCGCTAATGTTAAATAGACCCCTGGGGGTCTATATAGACCACTTTGGCGACCTCTGGTCTAACGCATCTAACTTCTCTAGTAATTATTTTATCAAAGATGCCACCTAATTGGCTCAATTAAATAAGGAAAAAAAAGAAAGAAGAAAATTACTTATATGCCTGAAGCGTGATTCGAACCCCGGGCCTTCCTGATCCGAGATCAGCTCCTTGACCACCACACGGTTGGCTCAGTCTGTCACTTTATTTTTGATTGTCTAGTGCTTATTCTAGTTTCGTCATTTTAGTTAACAATTTCCCACAATACACTACAATAATGCTTCGAGTAGATTAAACATTAATTGATAGTCCGCGATTTGTCACAAATCACGTAATTTCGTGACGAAATGTCTATCAAAATTAACGAAATTCTGCCCAACGATTGCTGATTGAGATTTTTATTGAGTGCAAACATTAAACTCATCGGGTTAAAAAATTTATTTGAATCCAGTGATACTTACCAAGTCCTAATTTTGTTTGCAAAGAAAGCGTGAGAAAAAATAAATGTTCCCAACTTAATCAAGAATCATCTGTGTTGTTCGATTCAAACAGCCCGTTATATGTTATTCACTGAAAGCATTGTTATTTTACCCTTTATCTATTCTTTCAACAACTGAAAGATAATTTACACTAGATAGATGCCTCCACTCCTTCTTAGCTTATTAGACTTCAGCTGTCTCCTTGCAAACACAGTAGGATAGACCCACAGAGGGTGGATTGAAGCCATTTCAAGCTTGTATTTGTATTCTGAAACGTGAAGGTGGAAAAGCCAAAAAGATAATTCCCATGAGAACGTGATTGAAATTCCGATGTAGTAAATAAATATCTTCTCTTTTAAGCTTGTTCGATATTTGTGATCAGAGTTACAATTTATACGCATTTGACTTAAGAAAAATATATTGCCAAAGAGCAGAGATAATTTCATGTTAAAAATAAGCAGTTAAAGCTGACTGACAATTGTTTTTAGTTTATATGATAATTGTTGAAATTAAGGTTAAGAGCCATCTTTAAATATTGTGTTGTTTTTTCTTTTTTAAAATTGGGGATAAAAAGACGTGAAATTTAGTTATGGTAATTATAACTGTTTTTTTAAAGCTTTTTTTGATTTAAAAAGTTACTGTTTTTGACTAATAATATAACATATTTTTTTTAATTTTGATTTAATAACACTTGTTTATAACTTTAGGTAACCTTTTATCTCTTTCTGTTAGTACATTCTATGCATAACAAAAACGTCGCAATTCGTAAACTTGAAGGAACGCGATGTATTTTTGAATATAAAACACATTTTGTTATTTTGAATATTACTCTAATTTACTGTTTAGGATCATAAAAATGTGCATTACTTGATAACTAATTGCTGATTTCAATAATTTTAATTTAGATGAAATGTCATTCACAATTTGCATTCACACATGATTTTTTTAATTTAAGTATTTTTCCATTATATATATATATATATATANGGACCGTTGTGACGCTCGGCGTAATGGGCTGGTTCGTAGCGTTCTCCGGGTCGCCGCCATACCCGTCGACGGCCGTCATTTCTCCACAGACAGAAACGAGATTCATCCGTGAACAATACCCGATGCCATTGGATGGTCCAGGTACGATGACGATGACACCACGCCAGGCGTCTAGCCCTGTGTAAAGCGGTCAACGGTACCCCTGTTGCTGGTACCCGTGCACGTAACTGTACTTCATGCAATCTGTTGCGTATGGTTTGGGTGGACACAGATCCACCTGCTCCTGAAGGCAACCGGCTTCGGATGGCACGTGCCGTGGAGAAAGGGTCTCGAATAGTCAACTGGCGAATACGCCGGTCTGTGCGCTCTGACGTGCACCTGTGCGCACCACTTCCTCTTCGGCGTGCACGTAGACCTTCCTGAATCCATCGTGTGACACAACGTTGGATGGTACTCACGTTGTGCCCAACACGAGTTGCTATTGCGCGCAGCGACAAACCAAGTTCATGGAGTTCGATAATACGGTCACGTTCCCCGGTCGTTAACTGATGGTATTGAGCTCGCCGACGTCTCAGAGGCATTTTCTGCGCTTTTTCGAAAGTCGCAAATGCTACGCAAAGCCTCAGATGCCGTTTATGAGAAGAGAAAGTTGCTGGCCTTTATAGCCCGAATATGCGTACCACGTGATCAGATGCGTGCGCAAATTTAATCATTTGCATATCCATCTCACTACTATCGCTCCTGAAATTTGCATGACGCTACGTGCATTATTTCTTGGTGTTGCAATTTCACTTTTGAGGAGTGTATTAGTTGCTACAACCTAAGTCAATAATAAAACTTTTAATAAACATGACTAAAATTATCATTTTTATGACCTTTGCTATGAACACACAATAAAGAAATTCAAGTGTAATTTCTAAACATTTAGCATAGTGTACTGTCTTACTTTTTGTTAAGAAATTTGAAAATTTGAAAATTTTCAGATGCTGAAATACTTATTTGTTGATACTTTACACGGCTCTTATGATTCAAATAGGTCTATTCCAAATTAGCTTCAGTTAAAAGACAACATAATTATTGTTTTTACTTTTAATGTTTAGTTGGTTTTACAAAAATATTCTTAATGTTAAAAAAATATTATGATTATTCTAATCTTTTTTTTGACGGTGGACCAGAAAGAATAGAAATTTTACTAATGCGATAATTCAATAAGAGATTTGCAAATTTATAGTTAAGGAGTATATTTACATTGTCTCATTCTTTCACCATTTTGCTTCATTGGAATTTTGCATATTTTAGTTTCAGAAAGAGAAATCTAATCCATTTTTTAGGCACTTTTTCTAACCTCTGTTGTATATATGTAATATATCTTTCAATTTAAAAAAAAAGAAATGCAAGAAAAAAAATATTTTATCTTTTTATTAGGATTCTTTTTTTACAAGAAATGAAAAGAAAAGTTATAAGTCAGTTAAAAATATACTTGACGTAAAATTTTTTTCAGTATGTTTCAGCTCCAAAAATGTGTAACAAAGTAAAGTGAAAAAAGAATGCTTTCTACAAATTCAAAGATACATTTTGAGTTGTTTGACTATTCAGCATTTTGAGATAAAATTTTTTTACTCATTCTCCAGTTTGCGATGTTAACTGATGTTGGAAAAGAAAAATGATGTAAAAAGAGTTATAAAAGAATAGAGTTGGAAAGTTTGATTCTTTGCTAGGTTCGGATATAGTGTTTAAAATACTTCTTCGAGTTTATGTTTAGAATTTACTCCTTACGAAATTATAGCCTTCCTTATAAAAAAAGTCTACTATGAATGGTAACTTTGAAAATGATACCCCTTTCTGAGGAATATTCGGAAATGAATTAGTGCTTAATTTCATGCACCCGAGATAGCCCAACAAGATGTTTTATACCCTAAAATTAAAATGTTACGTTGATTTGGTTAATGTAAAAGTTAAAAATGGTAATGCAATCAACTGTTTAACTTTCAGCTGTTTATTTGTAATGCAATGTTGATCGTAATATGATATTTTTAGAACTGATCAAATCAATATTTATATTACTGTAAATTATTATCCCAATTTGTACCTTGCAAAATTTATGCTAATGACGTAGCCTAATTAGAAAATCCAGGTCTTTTAAAATGTCGTCTTTAGGCTGATTGAAAAATCCCCATTTTTTATTCAGCTTGATATTTATTTTTTGGCTTATTACGAAGACCCATACACTTTCCGGCAAATTAGAAAATGTGCAAAAAGTAGTCGTTCCTCCAGAATATGCTTCAATTAATTGAAATTGGCCTTGTCGACTTATTTAAAACTGCTTGAAATAAATTTAGCAGTGGTATTCTATGATGTTAAGATAGGAACTCTGAAAAGGCCACTCCAGTTTAAGAACTCTCATTTCGTCAAACCGTGACTACGCAAATCTCAAAGTGTAAATAGAGCAGTTATACTGCTGGAAAAGAAATGAGCTTTTCCCGAGTGCTATAGAGTTAACCATGGAAATAGCCATAGATAAAAAAACAGCTATTGCAAAATGATTTATTGTGGAATGGAGCAATGAATAAAAAGGCCATATTTAATAACAGTCAAATTTAATAAACTAAACATATGATGGTGTGATATTTGATAAACTACCAGTTAGAGCCGTGATTGCTAAGGGGATAGAGCGTTCGCCTTCCAATGAAGTAAACCGGGATTCGATCCCGGCGATGGCTGATCGGTACGAATTCCGCATCCGGGTTGTACCGACCAAAGTGATGACGTAAAATATTCTTAGTGTTAGACGGATCAGGGGTTAGAGTGCCCTTAACGTCAGGCTAACCGGTGGGAGATTTTCGCGGTCTTCCTCGCCATATAACGCAAATGCGGGTTAGTTCCATCAAAAAGGTCTCCACGGCGGCAAATTTCTCCCAGTACGTGATCCAGTAGTTCCCTTGACTTCTAGATTGGGATCAAAATTAGAAGGCTACGGAGTTGAACATTAGTAGTCGTAAACCCAAAAATTGGGTTGGTTGTTCAACAACGGTTATAAAATATAAAATAAAACTACCAGTTACAGGGGATAGAGCGTTCGCTATCCAATGAGGTGAACCGGGTTCGAACCCCGGTGATGGCTGGTCGATACGAATTCCGTATACAGCTTTCACCGACCACAGTGCTGACGTAAAATATCCGTAGTGGTAGACGGTTCATAGGTAAGAGTCCGCTTGTAGTCAGTCTAAACGTATGAGTTTTCGTGGTTTTCCTCTGTATGAAACGCAAATGCGGATTAGTTCTATTAAAAAGTCCTCCAAAAAAGAAAAAATTTCTCCCAATACTTGATCCAGTAGTTCTTTTGTCTTCTGCATTGGGTTCAAAATTACAAGGCTACGGAGTTTAACATTAGCAGTCGTAACCCCAAAAAATTGAATCGGCTGCTTACGACGGTTATAAAATAAAATATAAAACTACCCAATAAGCCTTCCATTCCATTCTATTGCCTGTTACACAAGTTTTACATATTCATACTTATCGCCAATGATTACAGCGCCCTCTGTTGATCAGGCATAAATTCATAGCAGTAGCATCGTCCGGAATATCTACATGCATGTTTCCAATCACAGGATCTTAAGGACCCAGGCCAAGCCATGAAAAAAACCTCCGCACCATAAAAATATATACTTCTTCAGCTGGATATCTGGATAATTTCAGTCCAATACTGCGAGACAAACAGTTTAGTCAGAGAGCTTTAATTCAAATAATAAATGATCTTCATAATTAATGATGTTGCAGTCACTTTATAAGGACTATTTTTGCCTTCAAATAATAAATTTTGAAAGTTATTCAATTTTTTAAATGTCATGATGAAATTAAATGAGCGTAAAGTTAATTCCATTAGTTTGGACCGACGTGCTATTTCATGTATTACTAAAACATTTGATGTCATGTCTAATTTAATTAACTATTTTATTTGTTCTTCATAGGAGTACTTTAAGCTTAAATTACTTAATGATTCAATTTAACAGTAAAATTTGAGATATTATCTTGTTGCACGAATTTTTTGAGAAACTTATTATTTTTATTCTAACTAAGCAAATTAGTTTATTTCATTTCGCAAAATTAAATTACGAACTTTATTCAAAAACGCATCTCATTATGGCTGTCATACTTTTTACAAGTATTATCTTGAATTAAATAATATTTGTCGTAACACAAAGCAATTTTAACCACCAAAAAATAACCAAACTACTATTTGTTGAAGTTAAATGAGTTAGGCAAGTTTGAAAAAGCGTCTTTAAAATCCAAAGAAGAAAGATTTTCCTTAATTTGAAAAAATGGCCGAAGCGAAAACGATCTCCATAAAATTAGAGCGCCTTTAATGGTAACCATTCATCACTTTAAATGAGACCAAATGCATAAAAGAAACCTTTTCTTTAATGAAAAGTGTTGTTTTATTTTATTGTGGGTTTTTTCATTTTTATTTTAATGTCATTTTATTTTTAGATAAAAACATGGGAATTTAGGTAATATAAAGACACAGAAGCATACAATTCCAGTAAAATAAATCAATTTCACAAATTTTAACATAATATTGTTTAAATAGAATTTAATTATAAAGCGCATGAATAAAAATTCACATTCTTTTAATTTTTTAGTTCTTTGCAGTAGCACTTGAAGCAATGTGTTATAAGGGATAATAATTAGGTAATGAAAAAATGCCCTAAAATTCCAACTAACCGATCATCGTTTGACCATTTTTAAAAAAAAAAGTATTTTTCTTTTCTTTTTCTAATTTTATTGTTATTTTGTTTTCCGTTTAGATTTCTTGAATAATTTTATATCCTTTAATAAACATAAATTTTAATTTTATGCGTAAGTATGTGTATACTTTTATATGAGGGAATTTTTTTATATTTTTCGCTTGCTACTGCTTGGTTCCTGAAAAAATTAGCAATGACATTACACTTTTCTTGGAATAACGTCAAAATATTTTACACTTATAGTTTTTTTTTGTAATCGTCGTTGAACAGCCGACCAAAACACTTTCAGTTTGAGAAACGCAAAGGATTTTGAATAATATCCTGACTTTTTTTAAAAAAAACTTTTTTTACTGAGTTTACCTTTTTGTAAGAAATGTTAATGTATTCGGAATTAGCCTTCATTTATTCCATGAACAAAAATTCATTATATTAAAGTTACAGTTTTAAATCCAAAAAATTCACTTTTGTTTCATTATTTTAAAAAATTCTTTTATTGTCAATACAACTAAAGAACAAGATTTTTAATGTCGAAATTTAATGTGTAATAAATGATAAGTTAAATTGGTGGCGTTCTCTGGATCGCTTGAGTTGAGATGTTACACATATTAAATATAGGTAATAAGCTAGCCTGTTACAATCAAGCTCAGCATTGGTTAAACATATTCAAAAGTTTCTCAAGAACAAACAAATTAGAATTTTTAAAAGTATTTTAAGATCAGGGGGCTGAAATTCTTTCTTACAACTGTTTTCTAAATTTCAAGACCCTTTAAAAACTGCTCTGGTATTGTAATAAAAGCTCACAGACACACAAATTATTGCTTCTATTATTATAAATA